TCCTATCCTATCCTATCCCATCCCATTCCATTCCATCTCTACAGACTTTGGGAACCTAAGTTCCCAAAGCTACCCTTGGAAAAAAACAAGACAGTAGCATCTCTAACACTTCTCAAAAACAGGCTGTCCCTTCTTTTCCTCTCATCTACCCTCCTGTCCATAACCAAGTGCTCATTTATTTAAGGAACAAAAAACTAACAGAAAAAAAAATCTACTGTGCCCACCATTTTGCTATTAAAAATAAGCTTCCCAAAATGAAAACCAGCAGCTCTTGACACATAAGGACTCATTTTTCCTTTTTTTACCTCTGTCCATAAGAGAGATGCTGGCTATCTGCCCAGATGAAGAGGAAGCCACAGCAAACTCTGGCATCGTGCATCTCACTCTTCAATGGCCAAAACTGGCGTGTCACAGGCTGTGAAAAGGAATGAAATTCAATGTCAAAGGAACTTTGTACCAAGGCTGTGCTTTACCTTTGGTTCCTCTCTGGACAGGATATATGTGTCTTCAGGTGACAATGTTTGTGCAAGTARATCTATTGCCTCTTAATGCCAAGGTTTGACTTTGGGGTGCTGCTGCTTAAGCCATTTTCTGACATCGATGAYRTGATSATGATGATAATAATAAYAGTAATAACAACCCAAAGCAAACCCAACAAAAACGCTCACAAAATTCCCCCCTGCCCCCAACTTAACCATCCACTATCGAAAATGAAAGATCAGTGAAAGATTTCCCATGCTCAGCTTATTTTCTCAGATGATGTGTGTTCCTTTTGGAGGATGGAAGCTCTATTTCATTTGTCATATTTGATGGAAACTCCAACACCTGTTTGTAACCAAGATAAGGGATTGGGTTCCCTTACTTTGTGATTCTGAATCTCCCACCAGCGGAGTGGGTGCAAACATGCACAAGGCTCACTGACTCACCCTTGTGCTTCACAGGTAGATGWGTCTGCCATTAAAACCTGCAGAGAGTGCAGAGGGGAAGAGGGCATTGTCTAGATGTCCCTCCTTGGTGCACCTTCCCACAGAGGARTCTTCCAAACCTTCCAGAGGGTCCATTCCCAAACCTTCTTACAAGCTGGAAAACCTCAAAATATCTTTGTGAGTGCGTTTTTTCCCCAGTCTAGTCTCTACAATACTTCTGTCTCCAGAGATCTCAGCTGAACAGTCTGGCCTCTATATCATTTATTAGGCCCCAAATCCTTCCAGCTGACCACCAGCCAGCAAGTCTGACCAATACAACATAGAGGAAAGGATGGAAAAAAAAATCAAAAAGTGTTAGGGTTTAAAGATATCAAATCTGTAATGAGGGAAAGTGAGGAAAATCACAAGTTCAGGCTTTCTCCCTGAAAACACTTGCCACCAGCTGTCTCTATTTAAAATGCCTYGTTTGATGCCAAATGCCACATTATTTTACAAAGAAAAAAAAAAAGAAGCTGATTGAAAAGTTGCTTCCTAGTTTGTGCAAGACAGAACTCAAAGCACCTAAAACTCTAGAGGTCAATGCCATGAATGCTTGATGAGTGACAAGACTTTCTGCAGTTTGCTTAAGCAGATTTATTTTTCTGGATATGTATGTGTGCTCAAGCAAGAAAAAAAAAGCTTCACTCCAAATGGAAATAAAAATCAGAAACTGTTTTTTTATGAGGTTTTTCACCTCTTTTCCCAGTCAGAATCAATCACAGACTCACAGAAGTGTGCTGATGTGGCGTGATGAAGACAGACAGATCCACGTGTCTGACAATTCTATAAAAATCTCACTATTATTTGGATGCAGTGAGCCACAGTGGGTGAAGTGCCCAGCTGGGCAATTGTCCTTCAAATGGCACCGGGCAGCTGATAAAAGGCAYGGGAACAGCTCCTGGGTGCTTTCAGATAGGCTCATGATTTCAAATCAAAGCTGCCACTTTACCCACTGCTGATGATAAATTTGCCCAGTGTGCCTGGAGACATTGGCCAACCCCAGAGTGCCAGACCTACAGCTGTCCCAGTGGCATCAGAGCAGTGGTACAACAGTGCTATCCCTACCTCCRGAGTCCAGAGAACACAAAAACCTGGTGTTTAGTGCCTTGATGGGGGAATTTGCATGTGTGAGTTCCCTGCACTGTTATAGCTTTCTCACCAAACAAATTAGAGTAGTGGTAAAGCAGGTGAGCATGTACAGAAGAAAAATACAGAGTGGGAAGTAGATATTATCAAAGAGCAGGAGAAAAGGTTAATTTTGTCACTTAATTTACCACCCTCAGAGACACAAATTCAGAATGCACGTAAGCCATAATAAAACCAGGTCACACGATTTGAAAGGTGAACATGTTTGTATGGATCTGACAGGTGTTAATGATGATTTTCAACTGAAAAAGAAATCCTGGAAAACAAATTGCTTGTTAAACAAGTCCAACAGCATTAATGTTTTATAACAGCATYACTTTCTGGAGCCAAGTGTTGCAATATATAAAGTGTCTTGCTTTATTTAGGAGATCCTTATGAATGTGATAATCTTTTAAGGTCCAATTTTATTGTATCATGTGCTGCAACCCATGTTTCCTATGTATGGTTCAYAATGAGATTAGTACATTATAAATCTTCATGCAATTTAAATAAATAGTCTCTCAAGTGTCTGCCATATATTGTTCTGTATTTGCCTACAGGCACTAATGTTGCATCCCATAATTGTAAAGTATTTATCTGTGTCATACTACAAGGCACTTGATTTAATTTTAAATGGGAGAGTTTAATCTTTTCTTTGTTTCAATCATGATATAATTTGGTTAATTACCATTYGTTGTTTGKTTTTTTTTTTCAATTTRCCACAAAKTCTTTCMGTTTTTATTTCAAAAGTAGCCCATACAGGGTTGCCTTTGGCATAGCATATGCAGCAGTCACTGACTCAGTACAGAGATCACTGTTGTAATGTCAAATTTATCCCATTAATCCTGTCTTTCCAGGTTTCATTTTAGGGTTCTCCATTCACACAATCTGAATGATTAATTTCCATATTAATTTTCTGACTATTTGATGTTACCTGGATACTTCCTAAGTTTCCTRCCTCTGTGGATTCATTCAGTAGTGGCCCATCCTTAATATGGCCAAAGAGGATTTCAGGCAGACAAAAACAACACCAATTTAGATAACCTATCCTTCCTCAAATAGGGTTTAATTTGGCTCTCACTTTTACCGATGGACACCAAGAAAAAGACTTTTATTGCCATCAACAGAGCTGGGGGTCCAAATCAGGTGTTCCCCTATCCCTTTGTGGCATTGGAAGTTCYCCCTGCACAGAGGGCAGAACTTCTACCCTGGGCAGTGCCCAGCCCTGAACAGACTGTCMAGAGAGGCTGTGGAGTCTCCTCACTGGGATATTCCAGACCTATCTGGAYRCAATCCTGTGCCCTGTGCTTTGGGATGGCCCTGCTGGAGCAGGGAGGTGGCAKCRGATGAGCCCCTGTGGTCCCTTCCAAACTGACCCATCCTGGGATCCTGTGAAGTTTTTAGAGGGTTGGGGGGTTTTTAATATTTTCTGACTCCTTATCTAAACCGATTTCAAATTCTCTGAAGCAAAAATTCTTGAGCACAGCCAGTTCATTTTCCCCTGGAGAGAAAAGGTACATGGTGCCCCAGGGGCTGCCATAGAGGCAAAGGAGAGGGGCAGTTCAGGGGGTGAACTTACAGGGATCTGTGCCCAAATCAGACCAGATAGGCAGGGCTGGGGAGCTCCTCTGCAAGTGACTCCTCCTCAGCTGGAAATGGCAGATGCTAAAGAGACTCTGCTAATTTCCCCTGCCTGGAAATCTGTAATGAACTCAGAGCAGAACATCTGTTAGTTTCTCCTAAGCTGGAAAGGGCTGAAAGCCAAGAGACATGTCTCAGGGCCAATTTGCTGGCCTGTCTGCAGAGTAGGAGAAAGTCTGAGCCCTGGAGAAAGCCTGGTGTGCTCTGTCTGTGAGCAGAGAAAGCTGGCAAGTGTCACTGGAGCCAGGGGTGACACAGAAAGGTTTGTTGCCTTCATCCATGCAAATGTCCACGAAGAACTGTGGTCACTCACATCATACACAGTCAGTGCTGCATTTGTCYAGGGATGGGATGCTAAAAAATCTGCTGCTTTTGCATGTGGCACAAGCATTGAGGGAGACTGCTGGATGCAAAGCCTTCCTGCCCACTGCAACAACCTGCATCTGGGCTGTGCCTGTCATGATGGGACATTCAGAGATGCCCAGGGCACTGCAGCTAATGGAGGTGCTGCAACCTTGTTAGCCTAGTGATTTAACTGGGATTAAATCTTCCCTTTCCCAGCAAGGTTAATCATCCAGTGCTGCAGAATGCCAGAAGGTGAGGGGCTAATGTGGATATCTCAGCCAGATGGCTGTGGAGCCAACCAGGGATTGCTGGAAATAGCAGCCAATATGGTGCTGTGGGAAAGAACAAAGGGTGGCTGGGAAAGGGGGCCATGAGGAGGTTGGGCAGCACTTCTCTGGGACAAACAGACTTGTTCAAGCTCCTGGAGATAAGCACAATGAAGCACAGAGCAAGCACAGAGCTGAGAACTGGCAGGAGTGCAGGGGGGAATCAACACCAAGACCCCCTAAATCCTCTCACCCATCTCAAGCAAGGTCTGAAAGAACAGACTGTGCATGAGAAATAATTTGCAGAGAAAATAAGAAACCTTTCTTCAGGGCAGGGAAAACTYCTCTATGAAAAGGTACGCCCAGCAAGCCCAGGACAGACCAACACCAGAACAAGGATCTCTTTTTCTCTCCTTCCTTTTTCCTTTTCATCTTTCCCCTTTATCCAACCCCCACTGATGTGTGCATACATAGTAGGTCAGGGACTAACTTACCAATTTCCATGCCAAGAGTGGAATTTACTAATGTGAATTTTTGCAGATCCTCTGACTCTGTTGCTCCTTTAGACCAGAAGCATCTACAAATCTTGGTTCTCCCTTCCCCTTAAGGGTGGGACATAATAGGTGTGTGCAAATTGTGTCTTTTATTCCCAGATAACATCAGTACAGGTAAATGTAATGTCCCCAAGACTCTGCTAGCATGGGACAGCCAACAACACTCCTGTTAAGGTGAAAGTGAAGAAACATCTGAATGGGCATTTATTGGTTACKTTTAGGAATAAGAGTTGCAAAGTGTTAGTTACTGTTTTAAAGTTTTGCTACTTTATATCATATTAATAAAATATATCATTACGAGCACAGTCTCTTTTATGCCAAGAGTGCTACAACTATGCTACCCCCTTTTTACAACTCAGTTGCTTCTTCATTTCATTTATGTCCTTATTTCCAAGAATACTGGAAAATCTCTGAGGCAGACTTCTTTTTTCCAAGAGCAGGAGGATCGATTTTTTCAGTCATTAGCATTTGTGAAGAAGGAGAGCACTAACCAAAGCCAGGAAATTCAGAATTCACATGCAAGGCGAAACTCCAATTAAAAAACTCCTTGTCAACCTATTTTCAAYCCAAACACCTCATTGGACTGATCTTCCTCTAGTGAGAAAAAGTTTGTATCTTGCTTGAGTAACAACACCACATAGACAGGAGRAAATGCCAAAAGTGGGAACTGCAATGTTCTTGGTCTGTGAACCAGGAGGAGATTTCCTCGTGGATAGTGCCCATCCTCTCTTTTTCTTCACCTTTTTGGTGGAACTGGTACTAATCCCACCTGGAAATGATTTCTCTGGAGCTTTACTCTTCCCRTTGMACCCCTTCAAAGGAAACTTCACTGGTTTCAGATCAGGTTCTGTAAACTGCTCTTGTTAAACCYCCAAGATGAATTTGGAAGACWAAAAGCCTAAACACTGTACAAYTTCAAAGTTACAGTTTTGGACTCTYCTTCAATCAAATTCATTTATTTAATATAATCTGTTATTMACTGACAAATTAATTAGGAAYTAACTTCYCTACCACTTTCCCTGCATGCTTTGGGCAGTCAGCAAAATGTACTGGTAAGAAGTCTGTCTTTTCTTTTTTTAAAGAACAATACATAAGAGGGGCCATTAATCTCCTATGAACTGAGCAGGTTCTTCTGCTCCATTTTCAATATGCTGATGACTTTCACTAGTTTCTTGGTGTTTATACATACAAATTGATAAAGAAGGGTCTTTTTCTCAGCATAGTCATCATTATTACCATTATTTCTGGTTTTTAAATTTTATTTGAATGGTAAAATAACTACTGAGAAATATTTTTGAGTCTCCCATGTGCCTTGAGTGTCCCCAGGTACATTTTTTTCTGTGAAGGCTGTATCCTGCTTAAGGGAAGGAATTCCTTTTACTCTGTTTGTACAAGACACAGCAAAACACAGACCTGATCTTGCTTGGGGCCTCTAGGCTTTTTAATACTGGTTATTCTCTAATTACAATTTAACATTCTAAGCTTTTAAGAAATGAACAGTAGCTTTCCTTTAGTTGGGTTTATTTGGTGGGCTGAAGAAAACAAATCTGGAGCCTCAGAAACTGGAGGGCAGCAGAGTGTAGGATTTGTGTTGTAGATAACTACATTTTTGTCTGCCMCTGTGTACTGGCAAGATGTACCCCACCAAGGAGTATTACATAGTTTCAAGAGTAACCCACTGGATGCTCAAGCACACTTCAATGCAGACAGTTTCAAAACTCACCTTAGCAAAGGGGGAACCGAGCCAGAGCCATGTTAAATGACTTACCCTAAATCGTGCTGGCRGTCTGTCTAATGGAGGACATATCCCAGGGCCCTCCAGCATGTCATCAGAGGCTTTTGTCCCACCCAGTAGGAACCAATAACATTTCCACAGTTTGGACATGAAATATTCAGTATCCCTGCTYAGTGGCATGAATGAATTATTCACCCACGTTTTAGGATCTCTTGCTGTATTTCCATAAAAGCCCTTTCCTACTGAGCACAGGTATTGGCATTCAGCTACCAGACCACAGCCTTACCTAAAATCAGAATGAACTCCCTGCGGGTGATCAGTGAATTAATGCAAAGTGTTTGAGTTCCATCTAGTGGTTACAAACTCACCAGCAGATTGTCCAGCCCGGAGGAGGCTSAGGGAAGACCTCGCTGTGCTCTTGYGACTCCAGGGAGCTGGGTCAGGCTAGGCTCCRGCTGGAGAGCAGGGAAARGTTCTTGTGTGCCCACAGGGTGCTGGCACTGCCCAGGCTCCCCAGGGAATGGTCCCGGCCCCGAGGCTGCCAGAGCTCCAGGAGCGTTCGGACAGCGCTGCCAGGGATGCTCAGGGTGGGATTGTTGGGGGGTCTGGGCAGGGCTGGGAGCTGGAGTTGTTATTATTATTATTATTATTATTATTATTATTATTATTATTATTATTATATAAATACACAAATGAAAAACTTTACAGGGTTTAGTTCCCTCCTCTCATTATTCCAAAGCCCCTGGAGTGGCCTCCGTGCACCTGGACAGAGTCCTCAGGAAAAGGGACAGGAGAGCCTGCATCCCCTTGGATTYCTGCCACACGACCCCATTTTCCCTTACATCCCCACTACTTCTTCAAGCAAAAAAAATCTCCCTAAGGGACTTTATTCTCTTTTTTCTGCCTCCTACAAAATTACAGATTGTAAAATGGTGTGGTATTCTCCAGACCCATTTCCTGGCCATTTTCCCCGTCATTAACTCCTGAAGAGGCCATAGGCATTGCTGGATAGTCCCAAATTTACCCCAATCCTCCCGGATTGCCACCGATGTGAGCACCAGACTGAGAGATGGAGAAAGAAGCAATTGAAAAAAAGGGARTGGGAGCTGGAAGAACGAGAGACATAGAAAGAACACATCCCAGTAGGCCACAGGACACAGAGGGAGGATTTCAAAATGAGGGGTAGGGAGCAGAGCAAAGAGAGATGGAGAAACAAATAGACTCACACCATGCTACAGAACCAAGCAGAAAAACCTTGAACAGGGACAGGTCGCCAGACAGAAAGATAGAGATGGGAGGAACAGCAGGACAGAGAGGGAGGAACTCCAAAATACTGYCTGGAGCCAGGGAGAGACAGCAAAGGAGGATGCAGCCAGGGGCTGTGGGGCAAATACAGGGACAGGGAACCATTCAGAGCAAGATGGAGAAAGGAGATATGAGGGAGCCAAAATAAAAAAATTACAGCACTGTGGGAAAGGCAGAGAGCAGTGGAGGGGCAGGGAGGATCCTGGGACACACAAGAGGGGAGACAGGGCCCACAGAGCCCACAACTCACCACAGCTCTCCTTCTTGGCAATGCTGGCTGAATTTGCTGTTCCAGGTGTATCTTTCTCCTYCTCCCTTCTTCTCCTGTAATTCCAGCTGCTGGGCTGTCCTCCACCTAAGAGAACAGGTGAGTGTCTCTCAGCTCTTACAAGATGAAGTTTCCCAGGCACCACTYGCACACTGTGGTCACACACAGAGGGACCTGCAAGGCACGGCCACACTGCAGTTACCAGGACAGACTGCCACACACACAAGCCAGCCAGGACAATCCAGGTCCCACAGCTGACGTGGTTTTGCCCCTAGAGACGAACAGGTCCTAATTTCTCATAATAATTTCATCATTTCTTATACAATCCAAACCGGCTTTTTCCCATTTTGGATCCCATTCCTCCTCTCTGGACAGGTGCCTGGGAGGTACCAGCCACCTCCAGCAGCCCAGCCAGCCCTGCAGCCCAACCCTCTCCAGCAAGGTACCTGAGCAGAGTCACAGTTACAATCTACAGTGAAGACTGTGTTTTCTTCCTGTGCCTGTGCTGGGGATGAGACAGTCTGAACTGACTGCAGTTATTGGTGGGGGTGAGAAGACAGGTCAGGTGAGAAGAGAGCTCCCACCTCCAACCTGATGAACTTCTATGACACAGCTTAACGGTTCTCACTGAACAAAGAAGCCTCTAAATTATCTGGAAAGCCTCAGGCAGGTTGTAAACACAGCCATTGACTAAGTAAGCAAACAATACTGAACTGGGGAGGGATGTGTAAGGGGGAGGGGGGGTGGGGGGGAAACATCAAAATAATTTGAAACAGTCTGGGGAACCCAGAGCAGGAATAATAGTTGGCTGTGGGGCAGAGAATAACCGTGAGGTGAGCCAAAGCTGAGGCGTAAGGGAGAGATCTCAAGTAGAATGAGGGTGACAATGAGAGAAACGGAACTGGTCACATGCCAGAAAATAAAAAAGGGGAAGCCGGTTTGACAGCATCATTCCCGAGGTGTTTTCTGCATACTTTAGCCACACCCGGAGGGACAAGAGCTGCTGATGTGGTCAGAAGCTGGGTTGCACCAGGTACTTAGTGCAGGAATAGCCTCTACTTCACATAAAGCAGGGCAGTTCCACAGAATCCAGTGTAACCTTGTTCAACTGCAGATATATCAGACAAGGCAACATTTTTTTTCAAAACCCATCTGCACCCAGTCAAACTGCAGAAGTTGTGTTTAGRTATGCATTCATTTCACTCAGTTCTCCAGCTTTCATTCCAATTCGTTCAATTTATTCAACTCGGTAGACACAGTCAATGATAAGCCCACACTCACAGCTCGTGATGGCTGCTGGTTTTGCCAGGATCCATGTTGCATGTAATGGAAGTGAAGATGGGCACCAGCCATCACACCCTTTTGGTATCTCTGGTGTTATTTTCCACTGGCAGTGGAAAACTTCCTTGGAAGAGTCTTTCATAAAAGCTCAGGGGACCCAGCACTGACTATGGTGGCATCCTTGTGCTTCACAGTCCAGCTATTACATGCCTTCACACACATAATAGAAATTCTTTGCCCATTTTCTGTGTTTCCTCATTCTACAGTTTGCTCCCTGTTGRACCAACAGGAGYTAAGTGGCATTKGTGATATGCTGTATCTTCCTGCTGYGTCATGTCAGCATGTCAGATGGTAGGATTCTCTGCTGGCAAGTTGTCTGTGCTACAAGAATGCAGAACTTCTTGGTTTGAGAAAAACAACTCATTTCTCAATTTTATTGCCTTAAGCTGTGGTTTTGGTGATTAACACAGGCCATGCTTTTAACCTTTGCTCTGTTATTTCTTCTGGTGCTTGCACACACCCACTTCCATTCACACTTTGCTCATACCAATCAATATTTCAGTTTCAAGTCTCTGAAAGCTGATTTTGCTGACAACAGAGTCAGCTGAACAACAGAGTCAGGGCAAACAAGGAAATACAGCAGCTGCAAGTGGAAGACACCAGAGAGAAAAATTTACAGGGTAGCAAGAGGTTACAGCAATCTAGCCCCAGAGGTTTCTAACCTTAAAAAGGGCTTGATACTTGAGGCTGGAATCACTATGACAATTAACACCAATTTGGGACTCCTTGATACAGTAATCCCTTTTGCCTCACGCAGTTGTTTTGTTTCATATAAATTGGTTCTGTTTGAAGTTGTTAAGGAAGTCAAGTATTTGGGCATTTGTATTTGCCAAAGCTACCAACAAACAGGATAAATCCAGCAATGTTTCTTTGTTTGYTTTCACTCAGGCCTGATCCAAAACCCTTCTTGAAGGTACTTAARTGTAGAATAGAACATGAATGCCAARACTGTGTTTTTAAGTTATTTCTGCTTGCAGTGCTTCACTTAACTTTCCTTTTCCATACTGTCAATACTGTTCCAAAAAAGTGTGCAGCAAAACTCCTCAAACCAGTAGTTCAGATTTCGAGTCGATTCAAGCAGAAATGTATGTTTTCACTGGAACTGGCTGAAAAAACAAAAGACAGATAAATATAAGCAAATTACGGTACAATTTGCCTGAATCATTATCTACTGTTTAAAGACAAATAAATATAAGCAAATTATGGTACAATTTGCCTGAATCATTATCTACTGTTTAAAGACAAATAAATATAAGCAAATTATGGTACAATTTGCCTGAATCATTATCTTCTGTTTAAAGTTGACAATATATTGCTGACTCAATGTTTGAATCATTTTCTACCTTATCAGTCAGTCCTGAAACTACCTCCAGTATGGATCTGTTTTATTATCCTTGATGATCTGTTGACAATCTGAGTATGCAAGTATACACACCTAGAGTATAAACAAACCCAGAACTGTCAATTTACATCTCTAAAGCCATGACGTGGCAAACTCCTCCTTCTACCTCTCATTTTCTATTTTTTCCTTCTCAAAAATAATTTCTGTGGCTCAATTATCATAGTGATGCCCGAAAACATAGGCTAGAAATAAAACCCCATAGACCAGTGTCTATAGAGCAGGTATTTGTTTATTGCAGTGCTGGAGGAGAGGGGTTTTTTTTTTCCTATCTCACCCACCTCTGTCAAGTGCTGTTATTTATTTATACAGTGAGTATTGCTCAATATTGTCAATATTGTTGTCATCATTATCACTACATATGGGTACAGAAATAATTAACGTAATAGTTATACAATCGTTCCATAACTGTGCTCATGCTCCCCCAATTTAGGTGGTATTGGGGGTCTTCTTGGATGAAGGCTCAAAGTCTTCCTCGAATCTGAACTGTTCATCTTTGTCTTTGGAGCATCAGCAGTTATGGTGCTCTTCGGTTTTTCTGGCTCTAATCAGTCTAAATWYTTCATTTTGTGGCTATTTTGYTTTAYATTTGCCAATTTCTCATTAGTWCATCCTTAATATAGATAGACTTATCTATTTTGAGATTATCCACCTGGYGAGTTTTTTCTCTATTCAAGCATTAAGCAACCASTTCACCATATATTAGYTATTACACYCTATAGAAAGCTATGATCYRGGTTATATRGGTRTYYTATAATGCAGGCCATATAAGCATCYTGTAACTTTGACCCAAGTTATATAGGATACAGATTTTCAAGAATCAATTCCTGATCCAGAGGGAGCAGTTAACACTCTCCCTGAAGCTTGCATTGCTGAAGGGTTTCAATATAAAAGTTCATCTCAAATGGATTTAGTCCTCAGCCCTCTCCCCATCTTTTAGATTCAGTATTTGCTGTGCTTCTTCCCTGTCCCACAGACCCTCYCCAGCCCTAGTTCAGCACCAATAGGAACTTGGCAGTTCTGCTTCTGTCATGGTTTAACCCCTGGCCCAGGCATTGCTTCCTCAGTCCCCGCTGGTGGGACTGAGGAGAGAATCGGAAGGATAAAAGCTGGAAAACTCAYRGGCTGMGATTRAGACAGATTAAAACAGRGAAAGCAAAAGCCACACRCACAAGCAAAGCAAATCAATGAATTAATTCCCTGCTTCCCAAGGGCAGGCAGGTGTACAGCCAATTCCAGGAGAGCTGGGTCCCATCACACATCACCGTGAYTTGGGAAGACAAATGCCACAACTCCAAAAGTCCCTGCCTTCCTGCTTCTCCCCCAGCAGCTCATATACCTTTTGTGTGGACTATCCCCTTGGGTCACCTGGGGTCACCTCCCCAGACTGTGCCTCCTCCCAGCTTCCCACACACACCCAGCCCCCTGCCCAGCGTGGCAGTACAAGGAGTAGAAAAGGCCTTGGCCCTGTGCAAGCACTGCTCAGCAATAATGAAAAYATCWCWTTTATCATCACTGTGTTCAGGGCAAATCCAAAACACAGCCCCAYAGCAGCCACTGTGAAGAAAATAAACCCTACCCCAGCCAAAACTAGCACAGCTTCACAGCCAGGATACACTCTGCTGTAAGCAGTGCTGAACAGCAGCTCACTGCCAGTCTAGAAAAAACTAATGGCATTGYCAYATAAATACTAGTTACTTGTGTATGSTTTGTGCGTTTTCCTGCATTATATGCTTAATGCTCYGTACTAGATTCGTGTTAGTGCAGAGAGAGCAGAAGTTAGCAAGGAGGTGAGAAAATGTGGCCACCCCATCGCTGGAAGTGTTCCAGGCCATGTTGGATGGGGCGTGGAGCAACCACGTAGAGTGGAAGGAAGAAGTCTCTGCCCAACATAGGGGGTGCAATGAGATGATCTTTAAGGTCCTTTCCAGCCCAAACCACYCCGTGATTCTGGGAYAATAACAAAGAAACTTCACAGTTCTTTCAATCACTTGTAGCACCGTTAATTTCCTGTGTTCTGTTCAGCCACGAAGGCCCCCAGGCTGGGCGGATCCCCATCCCCAGCGCAGCCCGAGCCACTCGCCCCGCCCGTGCCTTCGGTTTCGATTCCTCTCCAGCGCTGCCGGGTGGTGTTCAGTCCCCGCCCCGGTGCTGCTGCCGCTCCCGCCTGCTCCGCTCTCTCCACAGTCCCGCTCCCGGTCCCGTCCCAGGCGGAGGGGCAACATGAACGACCCGGCCGTGTCCAGTTTCCTCACCGAGACTCTGTGCGCCCATGGCGGGCGGCTGGGGCTGCGGGAGCTGCAGGAGTTGGTCGGGCTGTCGGCATCGCAGCTGCGCGACACGCTGGCGGCGGCGGGCCCCCGGAGGTTCCTGATGGTGGAGGGCGGCACGGAGGTCGTGGCCGTGTCGGACGTGCGGGTCTGTGCCCGCAAGGTGTGCGACGGCTGCGAGCGGCTGCACCTGTGCAAGCTGCACCTCATGGGCAGGTGCCACCAGGGGCCCAGGTGAGCGGGGGGACGCGGGCGGCCACCCCGATCCCCTCACCCCAAATCCCCTCACGGCC